GCTTCCCCTGCTGCCGACGTGCCTCGGCCATAAAAAGAGGGGAGAGGGAGAACGGGGTGGGGGGGGCCGCTGAGGTGGCCGCTGAGGTGGCCATAGCCAGCGGCCGGCCCCCGCACCAGCCAGCCGGGTGGGAGCCGCAGGGCAATGGCCTCATCGCGGCCTGCGCTTACCTCCCGCCTTTGCCAGTGAGACCGGCTTTATCTAGATTTTCTTGCTTTTATTCTTCCCAGTCGCCCCCCCGTTCCTGCTGGGAGCGAGGGAGTTGAGCGAGCAGCTGGGTGGGTGCTTGGGTGCTGGTGGGGCCAACTCACTGCCGTCCCTTTTGGCACCCAGCGTGGGGCCGGAGGTAGGGACAGATTTGGTCAGGGTGTGCTAGGCTGGATTTACAGCTGCTACTTGCTGTTGCTGGTCCCAGTGCTGAATTATTTGCTCCTTTTCTTGCTGCACATTAAACCCCAGGGCTTCTTAACAGCTGCTGTTAGCTTTTGCTGTTTGCTGTGCTGCTTATCACCGTGTTTTGCTTTGGCTGGGAGACCTACGATAAAAGCACTGGCCTTGAGCCAAGTCTGGCGCTTGGCCCCTGCATTGCTGCCATCCCAGTACCACCTCACGGTGACCTTCCTCCTCTTCTTCTCCAGGATAGATGTTTCCAACCTTCTTATAATGGCAAGATCGGCATCATCAGATCCCCATGGATGTGATCAGTAAGATAACAGTCAAGTTTCCACCAGCTAGCAAAAAAGAAATGCAACCTTTCCTAGGCATAGTGGGTTTCTGGAGACTGCACATTCTGGGTCACAGTCAGCTTGTGAGTCTTCTGTATCAAGTGACCTGAAAGAAGAACTGTTTCAAGTGTATTGGGTTTGCGTGCCAAGGTTTTGGCAGCGGGGGGGCTACAGCGATGTCTTCTGTGAGAAGCTGCTAGAAACTTCCCCTATGTCCAATACAGCCAGTTCCAGCCAGCTGTAAGACAGACCTGCACCGGCCAAGGCCAAGCCCATCAGTGACAGTGATAGCGCCTCTGGGAGAACAGATTTAAGAAGGGGGGGGGAAACTGCTGCACAGCAGCTGGGAGAGAGGAGTGAGAACATGTGAGAGAAACAGCCCTGCAGACACCCAGGTCAGTGAAGAAGGAGGAGGAGGAGGTGCTCCAGGTGCCGGAGCAGAGATTCCCCTGCAGCCCGTGGGGAAGACCATGGTGAGGCAGGCTGTCCCCCTGCAGCCCAGGGAGGTCCACGGGGGAGCAGATCTCCACCTGCAGCCCGGGGAGGACCCCACGCTAGAGCAGGCTCCTGGCAGGACCTGTGGCCCTGTGGAGAGAGGAGCCCACGCTGGAGCAGGTTTTCTGGCAGGACTTGTGACCCCGCGGGGGACCCACACTGGAGCAGTCTGTGCCTGAAGGACTGCACGCCGTGGGAAGGACCCACGTTGGAGAAGTTTGTGGAGGACTGTCTGCCATGGGAGGGACCCCACGCTGGAGCAGGGGAAGAGTGAGTTCTCCCACTGAAGAGGATGAAGCAGCAGAGACAACGTGTCATGAACTGACCCCAACCCCCATTCCCCATCCCCCTGTGCCGCTTGTGGGGAGGAGGTAAAGAATTTGTGAGTGGAGTTGAGCCGGAAAGGAAGGAGGGGTGGGGGGAAGGTGGTTTAAGATTTGATTTTATTTCTCATTATCCTACTCTGACTTTTAATTGGCAATATACTTATTAAATTAATTTTCCCCAAGTTGCGTCTGCTTTGCCCATGATTGATGGTAGTTGGTGAGTGATCACTCCCTGTCCTTATCTTGGCTCATCAGCCTTTTGTCATATTTTCTCTCCCTTGTCCAGCTGAGGAGGGGAGTGACAGAGCGGCTTTGGTGGGCACCTGGCATCCAGCCAAGATCAACCCACGAGTCCCTAAACAGCAGCAGGACAGACAGGACACTGTGTGCTGGCCCTTGGGCCTGTCTAGACAGGACCAGCTGTGAGAAACATGCTCTGCACCTTAGCTGGGGAACACGGCCTCACCTGGAGCCTCTGGCAGAAAACACCTGGAGAGACCCGAGGTCAACTTCTAGGGTTCTGGAGCTGAAGGTACCAAGGGTCCGAGGTGCTTGTGCTGCACTAGATGTTCGTAGAAAGGGTCCTCTCTATGCCTTATGCAACGGACGCTACGTGGAGTAAGTGAGTAGCATTCACTGATCACGCAACGGGCTCACATGGAGAACCCCCACTGCCCATGAATCCTGGAAGAGATCAGAATTTGGCCAGGAGGCAGAGATTTCAGAGCATCACCTGAGGAGGTGGCTCAGGCCTAAGAGTATAATAAATTAGCAGAAAGTGAAAGGCAATATGCTCTGTTTACCAGTGGATCCTGTTGTGTTGTGTGAAACCATCTGATGTGGAAAGCTGCTGTGCGGAGTGCAAGTCATGGACCAAATGAATTGATTGGACTTCTGTGGACATTGGGAGGATATCCCACAGACTAAAGGAATGATGTCTGTGTGTATGTCAAAGGACAAAGAGACGGGTCATGATTGATGGGCATGTATTGGAGAGTGTAGGACTTAAGTATGGTGCAAATGGTATGGAACAAGGGGTGGAGATTGTACCAGGTCTGGCTGGGATGGAGTTGACCTTCTTCATGGCTGTCTGTATGGTGCCATGTTTTGGATTTGTGGCTAAAATAGTGTTGATAACACACCAGTGTGTTGGCAGTTGCTGAACAGTGCTTGCACAGCATCAAAACTTGCTTTTTTTTTTCCACTCTGCCCGCCCCCCAGCAAGTAGGTTGGGGGTGGGCAAGAGACTGGGAGGGGACACAGCTAGAACAGTTGACCCGAATTGGCCAAAGGGATATTCCATGCCATAAAACATCAACCTCAGCAAGAAAACGTGGGGCAGAGAAAGAAGAATGGTGGGGCTTTTGTCTTCCAGGCTGGCCATTGCTGGGAGACTGGCTGGGCATGGGTCTGCTGGTGGGAGGTGGTGAGTGATTGCCTTGGCATTGCTTGGGGTTTTTTTGGGGTTGGGTTGTTTGGTTTGGGTTTTTTTTTTTTTGCTTTCCTTCACTTATTAAACTGTCCTTATCTGGATCTACAAACATTCTCACTTCTGTTCTTCAAGTGAGAACTTGGGGGGAGTGAGCAAGTGGCTGTGTGGGTGTTTGGCTGCTGTCTGAGGTCAACCTGGTTGACCCTGCGAGTCTGCCTCCCACTTGAAGAGTCTTTATAGGGAGGCTGTGCAGTGGGATATTTCAGAGTACTTATTTGCTATGGCATTTTTTATTCCTTCTTTGATTTTTCCCTGTTCCCATTTTCTAGATAGTGGTGGCAAGCAGATGAGACTGAAGGAGGAAGGAGGCTTGAAGAAAAACAAACAAAAAGAAAAAGAAAGAAAAAAAAGCGCTTTTTTCTCTCTGTAGTAAAAAAGTTGCCATTGCATTCATTTGAAATCTCCAGCTCCTACTACCCTGAGTGTCATTTTGATGCAGGCTTTTGTTTAGAGAGTTTGTTACAGGATGGTGAGGGTTGTTGTGTTGGCAATGAGACCTCTCCGAGTGGCAATGAACGTGCAGCATCAGGATACAGTTAGAAAAGTGAAGGTGCTTCTGTCCAAGGAGAGGGAGATGGGGGAAAGATAA